GTGTACTGATGGGTGCGGGCTCTCGATGTCTCGATTATAGGACTTTAGGCGCGTATAGTTGTGCTCATGCGCTCGATATACAGCTTTATTGATGACGATAGGGGAGAGGAAATTCACTTCCCTCTCAATATAAAGCTACTTTTTTCTGTAAGTTACATAGCATTTAAAAAGCAACAAAATCCTAGCCTTAATTAGAACTAACTATTGTTTAAACACGATCATTTTAATTAATTATCATTTGAATAATTAAAATTGAGTCTTATATATACTCTTGTAATTTATAACTTTTATAATTTTGCAGACAAATGATAAAAAATTTTAATGGTTTCAATATATGTTCCCAATAATTGATTACTTTTCCCCGTTTTAAACGCCCCAATACTGACCACAAGAATCTGGAACTTGTTTTCTAGTTATCATAATATTTTGTTTTGTTACCAAATTAACCACAAATATTTTATAACTTATATAATGGCATTGAAAAGTACCTTACGGCTCGTGACTGTACAGTATATAGAGTATATTATGATTAACCCGTGGTTAAAATCAATGTTAAGCAAACAAACAAAACTAAATTAATTAATTTCTGCCAATTAAATATATTTCCCATTTGAAAAATTATTACTTAATTGGTATTATTATTAAATGTTGCGTTAAATTTATCAATTACAAACATGAAAATATTCTGATTAATAAAATTCTAAAAAGGTTAATTTGTAAGGAAATTGCCATAATTTAAATTTATTGTCATTCGGTTCCGGAAATTTACCCATAATTTCTTGTATAAAAGGCTTAAATGTGAGAATTGATTTATTGAATTGATACATGTTTAACAAACAGTAGATTTTGTTTAATATTTTGACTTATATAATATTGCAAAATGATAAAATTGAGTGTTTGTATGTTAGTAATAATTTTATTGAAATACAGTTATGGTAAGTTTGTATTTGATTTTTTAAATTCAATTAATTCAAGTCCACAAATGTAGCTGAAAATGGCATCTGTTCGTGGTATGGCGTGAACCTCGCGGGTGCCCTAACGGCCAGCGGCGAGAAGTTTGATCCAAACGCTATGACTGCCGCACACAAGACATTGCCTTTTGGGACAAGAGTTAAAGTGAACTGTAATGGGAGAAGTGTTACGGTCAGAATCAACGATAGGGGACCCTTTCATGCCGGACGTATCCTAGATGTAAGCCAAGGGGCGGCCAGACATCTCGGTATTATCAACGCGGGTCTCTGTCAGTGCTCAGTACACGGAGCCTGAACTCAATAACAATTGGTTTACATTCTCTATACATAAGAATGGCAACAATTATCGTTTGTTATGCTTTCATTAGTAAAATAGTTTTTGTTAAATGTAGTACTGTATAATGATAATTTATTATTTATTTCAAACTATCTAAATATCTCTAAAAATATGTTAGTTTTCAAGGAATAAATCCCTTTATTATAACTATCAATAAAAATTTGATTAATTTGCAAATATAAGCTATTCAGTGCTTATAAATCAATTATTGTACAGTAGTTTATTTAAATTTATAATGTATTAGATTATTGTTTATCAATTTGTTGAATAAGTAGAGTAAAGGACGCCTATTATCAACAAGTGTTGCGGAAATTTTGTGAGTATTTTCACACAAAACTACTGATACACTAACCTATCAATGAAATAATCAATTTCATAATTGTTATTCTTGTGTTTTAGCTTATTATCACAAAACATCTGCAATTATATATTATTTTCCAATTAAATGAGTTGTGATTTGTATAAATTCTCACCAAATTATAGCAAAAACATTCACAATTATTTCTTTTGAAATACATATCAAAAGATGAATAAATTAATAGTTTTTGGTGTTGTCTTTACAGCCATTATTCTCTCAGTCACTTCTGGTAAGTCCTTAAAAGTGTTAATTCTGAATATAATAATCATTTGCGAACTTAACAGACGAGACGGGCATCTGTTCGTGGTATGGCGTGGGACTGGACGGCCAGTACACGGCTGATGGCGAGAGGTTTAATGGCAATGACATGACTGCCGCCCATAAGACACTTCCGTTCAACACAACAGTGAAAGCGTCGTGCAATGGGAAGAGTGTGACCGTCAGAATCAACGATAGGGGACCCTTCGTTCCCGGAAGGATACTCGACTTGAGCCGTGCGGCCGGCGATAGAGCCGGCATTAAAGACAGCGGTCTCTGTCAATGTACTCTTCATATATTGTAATCATTTTAATAAACTATAAATTTAAAATTTAAATGATTTAATCATTTATATAGTACCTTATTCTCTGACATAGAATTGCATGCAATACTAAATCAATATCAGTAAAGGGGTGCAATACTATCTAGATAACATTGCACCCTATTTTAGACCAATAATCAAAATAATTAAAAATGAAATTATTAAATTGATTAACAAACGGAATTAATTTATCGGTATTTCAAATTAGCAAATTGTCTACACCTAAATACAATGATTTTTACTATATATGGTAAATTATATAGATTGTATTTATTTTCGTTTGTATAAATTTCTTAAATTATACTTGTTCCTTAATTTATCATAGTATATTTATAAAATTTATTAATTTTAAAATGATTATCAAATCAAAACCTAATTATTATTTAAAGATGTTTAAAATATAATTGTCTTTTATGGATAATTATCCTAGGAATTGAAAGTTTTAAATTGTTAAATTGTAATTTTACATCTCATTGAAAATTTGATTAATTATTTTTAATTGAATCCGAATTCGACTTTTATAACGGAAATATTCTCAAATTTTTTCATGCATTTGTGAATACCTTCACACATATTATATTTGTTTAATTTAAATGTTACGATTAAATCCTTTACTGAATATCCGATACTATTGCATGCAATATTATGTCAATTTTAGTGAAGGGGTGCAATACTATCTAGATAGCATTGCATACCATTTTGAAAAACGCTATTTTACTGATATTGACTTAGTATTGCATGCAATTCTATGTCAGAGAATAAGGTA